GCATTATATAAAGGTACAATTCCCAATGAGAAATGTAATTGTGTTGTATACCTACAATGTACCAATAAAAGAATTTAATACAAAAAAAAAGTGATAGGGTAGAATGTGATAGTTAAGCTTAATTGTCAACTTGGTGTGTCTGGGAGGGTGATAGTAGTATGACCTTGGGTATTAGAGCTGGTCCCTGATCCTTTCCTCTCTGGCATTATTCCCCTGATTTTCTTCCTGGTTGCCATGAAGTGAGTAGCTTTACTCCACCACACCCATATGCCATGATGCTCCTACCTTGGAGCCAGTCAATCATGGACTGAATCCTCTGAAACTGTGAGGCAAAAAAACCTTTTCTCCATTAAGTGGTATATATCAAGTATTTGGTTCCAACAATGAAAAGATGACTAATAGTCCATGCCAGAGTTGGTGCTATATTATTTGGACTTTCAGCCTCCAAAACTTGAGCTAAATAAACTTCTTTTCTGTATAAGTACACAACCTCAGTTCTTTTGTTACATAACAAAAGAGACTTATACAGAACACTAAGCAGAAGAGCTCATATTCTAAATTAGGTCCAATCATATAAAAATAAAAATTACTTCAATTTTTCAATTTTATGGCTATGCTGAAATAGTATATATATTAAATCATCAGGCTTGCAGTTACCTAAAGTTTTAATTCTTAATTAATCTAAAAGCTTCCATTATCTGAAGTAGTTTTCAAGATTAGAAAGAGGAAAAGTTTTCTCTTTCAAGTAATGTAACTGTCATAAGATTTAAAATATGTGCATGTTATTACTAAGGATATTTTAAAAATCTCCATTGAATATTACTTTCTCAAATATGGCACATTATCTGAAGCAGATTAAATCTACTTGCTTTATATCTTAATCGAAAAATGAACTTTCAAATATATATCTTGAAGGATCATCTTGACCAGACTGCAGCCATTTTGAGTTGTAGCTGCAATAACTGTCTCTGCAAAACACTGGACTGTTTTTCCTGTATGGTTTCCCAGAATACTACAGTTAAAGAAAAGCATTATCACGGTTATGTGGAGCTTTATGACTGGACCCTGGCACTGTTAGTGCTGGGAGTATATCTGACATCTTTCATGTTTGCTTGAGATAAAACCAGATACATTATGATTTTGATGAATTCCACTTTCAATGCCCAACCTTGGACCCAAATTGTAGCTATCCGCTGGTTTTGCTACCACCCTTGACTATGCTTCTATCAGTAAGTCCCTCAAAAACTGAACTCTGGAAATTCTGGATCTGTCTGCTTCTCTCTTCTGTCTCTTGACATGTTTTGCCTCTAGCAGCCAGTTCTTTTTTTTTTTTTCAAAAATGAAATATTTATTACCGAATTTTGTGACTTAACACCTTTTTTAACATAACGTCACAGTCCTCATACAAGGATTGTAATGTAAATTTGACAAAGCTTAAAGGTAACAGCATTTTCTTCTAGTGAGGAACACATGCTGAGAAAAGATTTCATGGACATACAATACCAATTCCACAGCAAAAACATACTTTTTTTTCAATTGAGGTAAACACATAGAATATCTAACATGAAACAATTATAGACTGAATTCTGCACAAAGTTTGTTACAGTATTCTTCTCTTGCTCCTTTTTTTATCCCCCAAGCTTTGAGTTTCTGATAAAGTCCTAGTGTTGGTCCAGTGACCATTAATAATTTTTTTGTGTTGAGGAAAAGCTGCCCAACTTAAGATTGTTTCATCCACAGCCAAGGCAAAGAACTCCTGGAAGAAGCTCCTGCTCTGTCTTTAAATCTTCACTGGCAAGCTCTTTGAAGAAGAGTCCCCCAAAATCGTAATAAGAACTGGCTTATGAAGCACAAACTATAAAGATCTGTTTGAAACTAAAGGACACATATGTGGAGGAATAAAGGCTGGGCATGAAAACACATTCTTGAAGCTGGAGTTCGAGTGAAGAGTTTCAGCTAAACGTTCATTATAGTCTCCAGTGTGGTTCTCTTCTCATTGGCCCAACAGGTTCCAAATACAACACAGTCTCTCCTGGATAGTGAATTCACTGATGAACCAAACAGTCATTCTTTTGAGAACAACACACATAGTGTGGAAAACAAGGATATATATTTTTTTCTCTTCTAAAACTATTTGAGGCAACATAATGGAGTGATCAACAGAAATGTACAAGTTTAACTTAGTTCCTATGTTTATACTACAGTAGTTTTAACTCTCGGAGTCTTTTTTCCAGAAGATCTTTACATGGACAGAATTGTCTTGGTGAGCCATGATTTCACATTTGTGTTGTCACAGTGGTCCTCTGTTGCTTGATGAAAAATGACAAAAGTAAAAAATAACACAGCTCTCCGTATTTCATATTAAGTGTCAACATCTGGTCAAAGTTCAGAAAGTCTTAAAATAGTTTTTGTGTGTGTTTCCTTTTTCCCTTGAGTTCCCTTATACTATCGGGCATGAATGTCCGTAACCTGTCTGCCAACATTGGGATCTACCGAATTCAACATGGTGGGGCTCTGTGCTGGCAGTCATTCCAGGGTGGGTAGGGCGTCCTCCATGCATCATCATGGCTGGATTGTGGGGATGGCTTGGCAAATATAAATGCACTGGGGCTCCATGTCTTAACTGAGTAGGGTGTGGGGGTCATCTGGGGAGGAGTGTAACTTGGCTGTGCCATACTCATTTCCATGGGACCACCCTGAGAAACGTAGTCCCCTGGCATGCTCTGCAAACTTCCCCCTTGGTTTGTGATTGCTTTAAATGATGAAGGTTACATGTACCGCCATTGCCCATCCATGCCCATATTCATGCCCATTCCACTCATAGGTCCTGCAGGCCAGATCCCCATCTGTTGGTGACTGTCCAACACAAAGCTTCTCATGGGCTGACCCTCTGGACTGTATGGCGCTCCTTTGCTTACTGCTCAATTGGACTGGTCAATCATGGGCTGTACTATTCTTCTCCTGGTGTTGATGAACCTTACTGTCTTACTGGAGAGATGCCTCCTGCAGACTTCCCTGTCACTGACCCCAGAAAAGCCAAGCTTTTCAGCTTTGCATACTTCTCTGCAACTCAGCCAGTTCTTTCATACTGGATTTTCTTGAAGAAATAACTCAAAATGTTCGTTATTGTCTTAGTTACTTTTCTTGTTGCTGAAACAAAAAACCCAATACCACAAGTTAAAGGGAGATTTACTCCAGTTCACAGTTTGTAGAGGTTTCAGTCCATAGTTGGCTGGCTCCAAGGAAGGGCAACATAGCAGAGAGGCATCACTGAGGAGAAATGGCTCATGCTGTGGAAGGCAGGAGGCAGCAAGCAGCAAGAAGGCTTGCCTTCCCTCTGTCCCTTTACATTTCATTCAGGCTATAAGCCTATTAATTGGTGCCACCCACACCCAAGATGGGCTTTATCCACAACCAGAACTATGTTAAACCAATCAGTGGACTAATTCAGCACCACACCCTTAATCCCAGTATCACACACCCTATATCCAGCCAGCTCCCAAAGCCCCACCTATGAACACATGAAGCTTTGGGGAGACAATTAGATACAAGTTCTAACAGTTACCATGTATAGCTATTTTGAATCCAATTATAAATTTAAAAGGTTTAGATAACTAGAATTTTTCTTTTATGAACCACAGCTAGAACTACAAAATTTGAAAAATATTAACCTGCAAATTCTATTAAAATATATTTTTATAATCACCATCTGGTTCTGCTTTGTCTCCAGTTGAACATTGTGGGCACTCCCCATAATCTGTAGGCTTAACTAGTTTCATTTGTAGCTGTGTTTCTGAGCCATGGACCAAAGCTGATTATGTTACAGGATAAGCCATTTGAAGTGTTAACCATAGTAAGCCATGCTAAGCCATGCTAGGACTATTAATGTCAGACATAGAGATTATTAATATCAGGTTTTATATATACTACACTCTTACTGAATGTCAGGCATATAGAAAGGTGAGGAGAACATGGATTTGAAATATCTTTTTGATGTTGTTGCTTTGAAATAATTTAATCCTACAAATGGATATTTAAAAACTGTATCTTCAATAATTAATATTTTGTTTTGGCTTCTAAGTATTTGACTTAATGGAGCCATGAAAGGGAACATTTTTATCTTGAAAAGGATAAGTTAACATTTGATTTATTGCCCCAGACCCCCCCCAAAAATATATATATATATAATAGTTAACACTTCTAAGAGTTTGTCTTATATGATGTTATAACTTTAGTCACAGGATATGAATAAATAATTTATAGACAGAAAAATGAACAAAAAATTTATGCATTGCAACACTATAAAATATGTTACTTAACAACAAAGAAAATGATGGCTACCTTCTGGATAAGAAAGAAAACAGTGAAATGTCTAAGGCACTAAACATATAACAACATTATTGTGAATATTAATATTTATGGGCTACTATGAAGGCAGTTATAAAAAAGCAAGATCTAATAAAATGTTTCAAACAGACAACAGTTTTTAATATCTCAATTTAAATCATTAAAAATTCAATTGTTTATTTTCTTCTAAATTTTTACTTTGTAGAGTAGTGAATACAGTATGGTTATAAATGGGTATTCTGAATATAATATAGCCTACACACTGGAAATATTCAAAGATTCTTCCACTATTCTCCTGTAAGGATTGCTATTGTCTATCTAGTGCTGTTATTATAAGGTTGGAAAAATACTTTAGCCCATAGATAACTGATTTTTAAAAGAGAAAATATATCTGTCATTAATACAGACAGGCCTTTGACAGTGGTTGCTTATTGTTAAGAAAGATTTTCTTAATATTCTGTCCCATAATTTTGGTTGGCATGGTCTCTGTTCCACATTGCCCATGGCAATGTTAATCTTTCATTCCTATGGATTTTCTTAGTTCAACTGCAGTTTTTTCCAGTTGTTGAATGTTCCATTGCCATTGTCTTCTATTTGACTGCAGCTTATTTACCTGACAATGCAAACGCTTCAGAATTGCATCATATCTCTTATGCTGTACCTAGTAAAAAGAACAGAACACATCAATGGGGTGTATGAAGAATAAATAGTAAGCAGCCATAAAGGATGTTTTGAATACTCAAAAGAGGAAAGCACTTAAAAATATTCATTATAGGGCTGGGGATTTAGTTCAGTGGCGCTGCACCTGCCTCACAAGTGCAAGGTCCTGAGTTCAATCCCTGGTACCAAAAAAAAAAAAAAAAAAAAAAAAAATTAATGTAGTCTGTTCCCCTCCCGTTAAATAAATCAATATTTATGCTAAGCCAGACAATAATATAGTGCAAGGCAATAAACACAATGGCAATTGTAAAAGTTTTGGTGTCTGGCTACAAGAAAGTTAAAAAGTCCAAATTCCTGATATTAGTATTGGCTGTATAAGAACATTCTTCCTTGTCATTTAAGCTTTAGTAAGATACATGTTGTATAGTATATAATCCATCATTTAAAGTATAAAATTCAGTGACTTTTAGTATACTCAAGAGTTGTGCAACCATCACAATTTTAGAATATTTTCATTACCACCCAAAGAAACTCATTACCCATTATCAGTTACTACCTATTCCCCAACCCTCATCCTTAGTACTAGGCAATGATAAATCTACTTTCTCTATATATTCATTTGCCTATTCTGGACATTTCATGTAAATGGATTTTTTGGTGGTGCTGAAGGTCAAACATGGGCCTCACATATGAACATAATGTTTTTAAAAGTCATCTTTGCTGCAGCATTTTTCAATACTTCATTTATTTTTATTGTCAAATAATGGCCAATCTTACAATATACCACATTTTATTCATCCAATTCAGTTGCTGATGAAACTTTGAGTTGTTTCTACTTTTTAATTATTATAAACCATGCTACTATAAATATTCATGTGCAAGTTTTTGTGAGGACATATATTTTCACTTTTCTTGGGTATATACCTAGTAGTAGAATTACTGGGTTGTATGGTAACTCCGTGTTTAACCATCTGAAGAAGAACTGCCAGAACTGCTTTCCAAAGTCACTGTACCATTTTAGATTCCCACTGATAATGTATGAGGGTTATAATTTCTTCACATCTTCAAAAATTCTTTTTGGTCATGGCCATCCTCATAGTTGTATATCATTACAGTAAAACACCCATTTCTAAAGATACCAATGCAACAATAAAATAATAGATTTGGAAAAGTTACCTATTCATTCATATATATATACACACACACACACATATGAATTTCTTAGGCGTGCCCTAATCAAGTCAGGAAGTTGATTGTAGGTCAATTCAAAGGCAGATCAATTTCTCAAAATATCAATTCAGTAAATGTGTGAAAATAATTGATTTTTCCAAAAACATGTTTAAAAGCCTAAGAGGCCAGTAGGGAGCTAAGTCATGGTTTCTGAGGTCTTATGACTCTACCCCAAAACTCTCCTTTTATTTTATCCCCAGGTTTCCTTCTTCCAGGTCCTAGATTAGGCTGTATGATAAAACTCTTTTCTGCTTCTGTCTTTCCCAGCTCCTCCCTTATCTCAGAGGATCTTTGTCTTGATTATACCATGGATCCTTCAGGCAATATGATGAAGACTATGGATTCTTTCACAGAATATTTTTTAAGTGCATAAAATATAATAAAAAGAAACTAATAACATTGAAACAGTTCTGCTGTAGCAGAGAAAATGCAACAGGAGCTATCTAAGCATTTGAAAATAAAAAACAAAGAAGAATTTGTCAGCTAATATTTCACATAAATTGCTATAAGCTTTATATTTTCAGTTTTTATAATATCTGCAAATTTAGAGAATTTATTCTAACTGATGGATTAGGCCTGTTGATATGTTGGTAAAACAGAAAATGACTAAAAGATTAGAAATAAATGAATATAAAATGAAATATATTAAATAATGAAACCATATCCAAAGGAGGATATAATTTTCTCTATATTGTATATATTCTACATACATATATCCATTGATAATCTAATTAAATATATTCATAAAAAGAATATAGTCACTTAGGGCCAGGGATTTAGCTCAGCGGCACAGCACTTGCCTGATAAGCATGAGGTCCTGAGTTCAAACCCCAGTACCCCAAAAATAAAATGCTTATATTCATGTTCATCAGATATATTAATAGAATGAAATCACTAGATTTAATTTTTTGTTAATTAGTAAACTTTGTTAGATGCAATTGAGCCCACTTCTAAAATTATCCTTAATAGTTAAGCTATAAAATATCCAGTGGATCAGAGTAGAGATGTGCACAGTCCCCTTAGGGGAACTCTAGATTTCCAGCCATAGCTAGATATCACAGGAGATATTAATATATCTAAAGAATTAATAAACCACCAGGATGGTTTTGTGAAGTATGCAGTATAATAGGTTCATGAAGGAAGTATGGGGAGCTTCCATCCAGGTACTATTTGACAAGTATAACTTTGTTATGAAGATTGGCTCCTTAAGCACCCAGTGCCAGAGGTGAACAACACTGAAACTCAGAGAACTGACCTGATTTCCATGTTCACTAATTCACCTTGAGATAATTTGTATTTCAAAGTAGTAGTTTTCCCACGGAGAGAAGCAAGATTGATGACTGACATATTACCTGGTTTCCTTGAAAGTTTTATTATTGTAAATCAATAAAATGGCATACATTTTATATATCATTTATTTGCAAACTCTACTACATCTCTCCTTGGTACTTGACTCTGAGACAATAAGATTAAGTTTCTAAGTTCACAAGGCTAAAAAGCAGTTTTTGCCCCAGAATTGGCTTCATGAAGACAAAGATCACCTTGTGAGCTTCCTTAAGGCCAGCCACTTACTAGCGTCTAGTGTTTTAGATTCTCTCTTTGATAGGTCTTAATGTTAAAGCTTGATTACCATTAAGCAGGTAAGGATGTAGTGATTCTACAGAAAATAAGGCTTTTTGCCTCTAGGAAATGGTTACTCTTTTTATTGTTGGTAGCTAGGGAGAAATAAAAACAAGAGAAGTAGGTGTGGTACTTAACAAAACACACTGTTAAAAGGGAGCAAGGCCCTATATAATCAGAACAACACTCTAATCTTATCTCCCACTATTTTTTACCTCATACTCTCTACTCTAGACACTGCACTTCTTTTGTCTGAGACTACAAGTTTCCATTTTTTTGTTTTGTTTTGTTTTTTGGTACTGGGGGTCCAACTCGGGTCCTTGCGCTTGTGCAGCAGGCAGCAAAACCACTGAGCTAAATCCCCCACCCTACAAATTTCCATTTTAAGAACTTTGCATTTGCTTTTACTTTTGGCTGGAAAGCTCTTCCTCCAATATTTACATACCTAGGTCCTTCATGTACTTCAGGGCTTTTCTGAAAAACCTCAGTGAAGCTCTTGTTGGATGCAAGATCTAATTACTTCACCTTTTCTCTCCTTTTACTACATACATTACATATTTATCTTCTCTTCTTGGCTCCATTTTTATCACTAACCTCATCCTTATCTAAGATCCCATCAACCCAAATGTGTTGAAAGGATTAATGGAAATTTTGTAAACTAAATGGCTTAGAATTGAACTACTTTAAGACCTGTGAATTAATACAATTGCCATCATATTTTAAGAAAACTATTACGTGAAGTACATGTCTAAATTCTATATTATTCAGAATTTGTCCATATATATAATAAACATATGATTATTTACTAAGAAGAAAATATTATCCTTAAAACTCTTGGAGCTCAGTTCCTATCACTTGAACATGTCATTTAACTATCCTTGTTTCAGATATCTAATCTACAACACATAGTTAAATGTTTTTATGGAGTTATAAATGTGCTGATACTTAAGTGTGAAGTTCATGACTTGAAAATTTTAAACATTCATATTTTGTGTATGCATGGCTTGTTATACATAGTATATGTAATCTGTTATATTCACATAAGGAAATATTATATACACTATTCATAAACTTTATCCATTCTCCATTTTATGGACATTTGGAATGTTTCTATTTGAGGGCTATTAAGCCACCATAAGACCATGAAAGTTTTTTAATAGCAAAGCATTTATTGGTACATTTTAGGCATATATAATGTCAACACTCATCATAGGGAATCTACATCTGTACATGGTAATTTTTAAAGATATAGTGTTTAATTATCCTCAAGTAAATACCTAGGAGGTGAATTATTGAGATGTAAGGTATGATATATGCTAACTTTTTAGTATTTACATGTAATTAACTTTTTAATTCTTACTAAATTTACTTTCAAGTTTTATTAGTCTTCTACAGATGCCTGAGGATTTTCTGTCTTAAACAGTTATGCTATCTGGGAATACTGGCTATATTATTTATTACAATCTTTATATCTTGCAGTTTTTTATTGCCTTATATCACTGATTAAGAACCTCTGGTATAATATTGCATAGATTAAGTAAGACCAGTCATCTCTACCTTGTATTCAGTATTAGAGGAGAAAGCATTTAACATTTCATCAGTAAGTATGATGTTAAGTATAAGCTTTTAAGAGATACCCTTTATCAATTCAAAATTTCCTCCTGTTCTGAAGAATTGCTACTATGAGTGTTGAATTTTGTCTAATGATATTTCTGAAACTAGGCTGATTATATCTTTTATTTATGTCATTTTGTTAATATAGTAAATTATATTGTTTGACCCTTGCAAGTTGAACCAACTGGGGCTGGGGATGTAGCTTATGGTGCAGCACCTGTCTGGCAAGCACAAGGCCCTGGGTTTGATTCCTGGTACCTGCCCTCCCCAAAAAAGTTGAACCAACTTTGCATTCCTAAGATAAACCCTGCTTGCTTATAATGCATCAGTCTTTTTATATATTGCTAACTGTAATTTGTACAATGTTGTTATGGAGTTTTACATCAACATACATGATAATGGTTGGTCTGTAACTTACTTTCTGGTAAGTTTCCTGTAAATTTTTTGTTTGTTTGTTTGTTTGGTTTAGGGTTATGTTGGACATATAAAAGAAGTTGAAAAGTATTTTCTGAGTTTATAGTTTGGGTATTATTTCTT